CATTTCTAGGGTACCGACGGTCGCGGATGGCAACATAGGAGTGAACAAGAAGTAGTTTTTAGGGCTGATAACCGTGACATGGTAATCATCGGGATTGAGTTGTTTCAACAGCGCAACGCTTCCCCAGCCACCCCCTAAAATCACGAGATGAGGCTTGGTCTTTCTCTTTCTTGCATCCTCATTTTCGTCGTCGTCGAGAAGCGCTTCTACTATGGGGAGGTTTTTGGGCCCTCCTCGACGCGGAGACAGTGCCGCTTCAGAGACATGACAATCGCCAAACGTAACTGACGATTCTTTGTAGGTTGTCGAGTCGTATATGAAAAAGCCTGCCAATAACGCCCCTACAAACCCGATTCCTGTACCAAGCATCGCAGCTGTACGATATGCGAAGTTGAGGATCACGGATCGTCTTTGTGGGAGGGGTTTGCCTGAAATTCCGCGCACAATGCGCCGCGACGGGAATAGCCATTGAACGGCTTTGGAGGGGTCATTTCGATTCGGAGAATTTGGTCGGGATAGAATACTGAATTGGCAAACATGCGTAGGTCTTATTTGTCTTCGCAGAGATAACGATATGAGTCTATAGCTAGGAGAGCTCTGGCGACCAACGCGTAAAGCGAGAGCTCTGGCAGCTCCTAGCTGTGATGGCATCTTCGTAGTTCTCGCTAGTTCGGGGTATACAAAAAGAAGAGACTATATGAAACGAAACGACATGTCGAGTTAGAAGAATTAATAAATAATAAATTAGCGCTCGTGGTAATTAAAAAAAAATAAGCTTAACTGAATAAATTGGGCTTTTCTGGAAGAAGGAATGGATAGTCGTTTCGCCTTTTTTCGGCGCTTTCCTGGTTCGACTTGTCCCTCTGCTTGTGTTACATAGAATAATTGTGTATGCAGTGCGTCATATCCGCTGGAGTGGAACTCCGATCGCCGTGACCAATGCTGGAAATAAGCGTGGGATTTCAAGCTTGGCTGGACCCGTATTGCATTAGCGAACGTACCAAAGCTTCATCCCGGCTCTTCCTTACCGCTTATGATAATGACTTCTACCTAAAAAGGCCAAAGTGAAGAATTGCTGTAACGTCTTGTTGTTAATAAAATAATAAAAATAAAGCTGCGATAGATGCTAATATTTTTATGATTAGTATATGTATTTCCTTTCTTTCTTCTCTATCTTCAATGGACCTGTCGTAGAGTATAAAATTTATGTCTTGTCGAATGTTCTACAAGATAGGGGCTCATTCTTAGAAAAACTGTGCATCAGAACGTTAATAGTATTGGCTGACACCGAACTCACCTAACTCGTTCCGTTTAATGCATATTCATATTCATATAGGGCCGAAAACACCGCATCTCCGTTGACGAGCACCGAGTATCACCGACAATATGTATTGTTCGTATTCATAAGCTATCGAACATAATACAAATAGCTGGCTCTAAATGCTGAAGTCCTTATAAGCCCACTTTTCTGTGAGCTTCGTCTTCGCCTGCTTCCTAAACGGTATTCTCCTTCGAGCCTCCACCTTTCCTCTTAGAAGTAAGCTCCGGTAGCGGTCCTTCAATAAGTTGCCTTCCGGCCTCAGTCGGCGTAGGGAATCTTCTAATTCATCTGGCAAGACTAGCTCGAGATCTTTCTCTGGTAACTTCAACCTGCCAAGTTGACGACGCCGGATCTCCTCATCATTGTCATCAGCGCTACTATCGCTCTGTTCAAGATTTGCAAGTGCCAGGTTCTGTTCGTGCTCACGCTCGGCAACTTCTTTTGCGATTCGTTTGATTTCTTCCAGCTGCGCTTTCCGGACCTTCGTCTTAGCTTCGTGCTTGAGTCGGCGCTCTTCTTCCTTTCGCCTTTGAATTCTGTTCCGCTGTGCTGGGTTTTTGCGACCCGGTCGTTTGGCGCTGACCTTAAGCTCTTCACCACCGCTCTGGAAGCCTTCCCATTCCGAGTCCTCGTCCCACTCAGATAATTCCGCTCGAGCTTCTGCAGCCTCCGCCTCTGCGGCCGACCTGGAGGCAGCTTCCGCTTTGAGACGAGCAGCCTCTTCGGCTTCTAGGCGCTTGCGCTCTGCTTCGACAGCTTTAATGGATTCCTCCTTATAGCGGGCTTCGTAGTCAGCAAAGTCCGGGTTGTAGCTGTATCCACCAGTAGGCTTCGGTACGGCCTTGGGAGTCTTTCCACTCGCTAGTAGCGAGATCGGTTTCTTGGAGATGGATTTGGGTGCCTTTTTCTTATCGTCTCTTTTGTCTTCTATATCTGTTGGTGTTGGGGGTTTGGCTTCTACTGCCCATGGATCGAAGGACGCATCTGCGACTTCTACCGTGGTCTCGTGAAAACCATCTGCAACTTTGCGCAATCGAGAAAGCTCTTTCTGCGTGACATATTCCCTCCGCGGCCTCTTGGATGGAAGAATTCCGTCTGTAGTCTTATCTCCTGGGCGCTTCCGCAATGAGACGGCGGGGATAACCGAGCGTGCAGCAATAATCTCGTCGGCCTTAAGAGGCTTTGAAGTATGCTTTGGGAATTTCTTTGGTAACGAAGCATCGCCTACTGTATCAAGAATGAAGAGTTCTTCGGAGGGTCGCTCGGCAATGACACCACTATATTATCACGACGTCAGTTCAGAGATGTAAGTAATTAAACAAGAGAAATTGTGCGAACCCTTTAATAATTTCCTCGTTCAACTCATCAAGACCTTTCTCAACCTCCGTAACATCGACATTCTTCCTCCATGCCTTCTTGCCTTTCCTCGAGGGCTGCTTGTAAGTTGCAGGGGCCTCAGTCGACCCCTTCAATGGTTGTATGACCGGCATGTCTGCGATCTAAGGCACTAATGGATTTGAAAAGGGTTACAAATAGGAATAAATTATAGATAATTGTATTACGGAGGGCTTCAGAAGCGGAATTCCTAGATTCCGTGGCGTTGGTGGGGCTATTGAAACTAGAAATTTTTACAGATGCAGGGTCGAGATTTTACATAGTTGATGTTTGGTCGATATGATAAGATAAGAGTCCAAGCAGCCTAAGGCGAAGTACATAGGTACCTAGATTTACTCCACATAAGACGGTTACGTAACCTAAAAACAAGACCAATTGACCTGAGTCGGAGTGTCGGCCATTTCTCTTTTAAGTAATGGGACATGCTATCGATTGCCAGTGACAGCTATTACCTAACGCAGCCCCAATATTCAGACCCCAGTCCTAAGTCCAATCCACCAATCTGTTAAGGCTGCAAAGCCCAAGCGCATTTTTCGAGGTATGTATATGGGAAAAGGGACCGCCTCCTTTTGTATGTGAGGTGGGAAAGAACAACTCTTCAATAAATCGATTTTTTTTCCGACCGCTTCTTACAGCGCAACAATAAATATACAGTAAATAATCCCACAGAAATACTTAATTCACCCCTTCTCTCTATTTCAGTATTAAGGAGAACATCCTTGAGTTCCTACCGACCCGACTTCTAACTTGCGGTTTTCTTGCCCGTAGCATCTTGTAGCTCCACGACTCTCAACTGATAACTAGATCGACTCTTTTTTCGAAAACTATTGATCACCACCACCACCACCACCAACAACAACAACAAACAACATAACGATAAACAGAAATTCGACGCGAACATGGCACAGACTGGAGGAGCAGGTGGTTACAACAACCCGTTGAAGAAATTCAAGTACTATTGCCCATCGGTCCATATGGTCTAAGCCTCATCACTGACGTTTACTAGGTTGGTGTTTCTAGGTGAACAAAGCGGTACGCGGTCTACTCTCTCAAACGTCACGAGCTGGCGATAGCCTTCTACATGATCGATTGCGCTTCTGGGTAGTAGCTAATAGCTTGTCGGCTTAGTCGGGAAAACATCCCTGATAACGCGGTTCATGTACGACTCCTTCGATAATATGTACCAAGCTACGATCGGTATCGACTTTCTGTCTAAGGTAGGCTAGGTCCTTCAAGCATGAGAGCCACGGAAGACACAATCCAGGTCGGCTAACGAGCAAGGGTTAGACAATGTACCTTGAGGACCGAACGGTACGATTACAGTTATGGGATACAGCAGGTCAAGAGCGATTCAGGAGTCTGATTCCTTCATACATCCGCGATTCGAGCGTTGCGGTAGTTGTATACGATATTTCCAGTATGGACCGAAGCTTCCTTAATTCATAAGCTAGACTACAGGGAGACTAATATGGATGGGCAGATGCGAAGTCATTCCAAAATACTAAGAAATGGATCGATGACGTACGCGCGGAACGAGGTAACGATGTGATCATCGTGCTCGTGGGGAACAAGACGGACTTGAACGACAAGCGGGAAGTCACTACGGCGCAAGGCGAAGAGGAAGCCAAGAAGAACAACTTGATGTTTGTCGAGACGAGTGCCAAGCTCGGTCACAACGTGAAGAATCTATTCAGGAGGATAGCACAGGCTCTTCCCGGTATGGAGGGGACGGATGCTGCGGCACAGGCTTCATCACAGAGTAAGTCACAATTACGGTATATAAACCCGAAGAGGAGTTATCAGGCTGACGAATTGCAGTGATCGATGTAAAGACAAACCCACAAACCTCTCAGCAAGAAGGGTGTGCGTGCTAGTAACGTGCTCGTAGCAGAAGACAAGCGTCGGCCTTGCAAGGGAAAAGACAGGGACAAGCAGGATATTTCCGTGCATAGCGAATGAATCAACAAAAGATGTTGTATAATACGAATCATCCTACGAAGCCAAGTAACGAGAAGAAGATTAGCAGAACCATTACCGGTATGACGTTTAGTATATGTAATCACCTTTTTCAGGTTTCAATATTTCAATTCAAGCGCCGTCAAAATGGTATGAAGTAAGGTCTATGCTTTATATGCTTGTACCACAGTAGATTTTTTTTTTCAGCAGGTTGAAACATCTATAAGCCATACTGACTTGTTTTTATCTTCATATAAGCGATAGCAAAATGTAGACCAAATTTTGTAACAGTTCCGGGATATCCGGCCTCCTAACCCGAACGGCGTACTTAACCTAACGTCTCTACATTACCGTCTGGCATGCCGAAGTATGCCTTTACAGGCTTCACTCCTTCTATATCCGTGCCCAACTGTGCTACCTGCGGACCATTCAGTCCGGAGAAAATGCCCACCTCGAGAACGCCGAAGATCTTCTTAATCCGCGCCAGCAAAGCATCCGGCGTCCAGAGTCCCTTAGCAGGGTCCAACTTATCGGTCTCGCTATTTAGCAATAGCGTCGGGAACGGCGCATCGATGATGTGGTTGTGGTTATCCGTGATTGTGCGGATGAAGGTAGGGCCCGAAGTCCGAATTTTGGGATCGGTGCTGCCCAGACGCAATAGCTCGCGGCGCACGTACTCGCCTCCCATAGGGGATACTTCAACAGGGATGTATGTCCAGTTAGTCAGGAGACGGTCGACCTTCTTGCGGCTATCGGCGACGCAGATGAAAGACTTGGATAGGCGAGAAACAAGCTTCTCTTGAAAGTGACAAGCACCGCCGCCCTTGATGCAGTTAAGCTCGGCGTCGACCTCGTCCGCGCCGTCGAAGTAGATATCGATGGGTTGGTGGTCTGCGGATCCGGGGTTAAAGCCTATTTCTAGCAGGAGGTCCGGCACCTGCAGCACCGAGAGCCCCGAGTTGTGGATCAGCGCTGTCGAGCCCGATCCCGTCGGCACGAACTTCATCTTGCCGGTAACGGACGGCCCCAGCTCCGCGATTGCTTCTACCACATAAGCCACCGTGCTACCACTCCCGATGCCGACGTAGGTAAAGTCCGGGCTAAAATGGTTGGTCACGGCCTGCCGACACGCGGCCCGCTTAGCAGACTCGATGAGATTGGTAGACATTGCTGCCGACGCTACTGTTCTCCGATTTCCTTTTGTTTTCGAAGTAACTGGCGAGGAGATGGTGGCTGCTGGGCGGATGAGCGATATATGGCAATTCCCTCGGTGTTGCGTATTCTGGCCAAGAGAGACGAACACGGCGTTGGATACGAGAGCGGGATGGCCTCTAAATACCGCACGTGGATTGGTGAGATGGATTCGGGTAGATGCACTTGCGACAGCCCGCGGTAACAATGGACTCATGAAACCTCGGGTGAGACAAGCTGAGGGGAGAAATTATGAAAACTTACTCTGGACAAAGAATAAGAGTGTTGGCTTTCTTTCAATTAATTCATTAAGTAATTGATTAATTGATAGCTTAGTAATTTTTGATTTTTTTCACCTCTAAGGTTCGGATGAGCGAAATGTTTATTTGAATTACATAAAGCCCGGAGCCCCACCATCACGATACCTCCCATGGTGGTTAATGTGGTGGTGCCACTAATCAGTGACAGCTGCTGCCATGACGTGAGCACAGGCAGGGGTACCCAGGTGAAAATGCTGACTCAGCCATGAGGCTCAACACCTACATAGACGACCTGTGGCTTCTCTTTTAAACTGTTTTCACACCATTTTCGTTAGGTACTGTGTCGCTAAAAATATGTTACTTTAGGTACAATGAGTCGCTGGACTCTCTTTATCGTTGTACCAGATCTTACACTGCCTTGATTCATACCACATATAGTCTCAACGAGTTCAACGTCATCGAAAGGTAAGTACGTCTAGACCACTCGGTTTATTTGCAATTTGCATAAGCTTTTTCTGCACTATCTCTTCAAGTAATAAAGTACTAATTCGAACCTACAGAATCAGTCAACCGTAAAGAATTAGACGTTATTACCCATTATTTACAAAAATATTACAAACTCAATACAAGCAATTACCTATAAAGCTACCTAATATTTAACGATTGCTAAATATATAGTTGCTAAGTCCGCAACTATAACAAATCATTAAGCAAGTTCGTGATAGGCCCGGGTCCCATATTGACAGGTTGAAAAATCACTTACGGGCGTGGAGTATGGCAAGTTGTTCAACTCCTTCAAAACCTCTTTAAAGGCCCACGGCTCTAAAACTCCACCGAACGTGCACTCCTTTCCCCCGAGATCCTCCATGATGATTACCTATACATTGAGTAGGTTCGGTGACAAATAGTACACATGAAACGTCCGGGAGAATCATACCTTCAATGGAGAGGGCCTCATTAGCAAAGAATTGACCCTCTCGACTATACATGTTTATCAAGATATCCCTGTAGTTCGTGTTCATCATTTCTCCGGAGAACCCTCCTCAACTGCAAATAGGCTTCTTCAGGAGTTCTCCTCTAGTATCTTTGTATGTCAATGTACCAAGGACCTTGCGGGCAGTCCCGTGTTGGGGGCTTTCATGTTCGAAATCGGTAACGGCTTCCGGTAGATGGCTATTGAGCCTACGGGGCGTCAACGCTGGATGCTAGTGGTTAAACGCTCTATTGCGTGTGATTGAGGTATATAGTGCCCTCGATGCATAGGTAGATGTAGGAGTTAGGGGCTAGTGTCGGCGTATCGTGTACATACATGCATTAGGTACATATACCTACCTAGGTATGTAAGCTATCGAAAGGTAATCTACATAGCATTAGCTTCCGGTATATTTCCCGGTATCTTATATTTGCGTACATTTGCTATAAGGCCACCTGCTGGGGTTTGGTTAAATGGTATAGACCGGGCCACAGCTCATTCATCCGAGTATTTAGTCTCCAACCAGGGGGTTGTGCAATGGCCGGCCCCATACTACCCCTTCACAACGCAGTGGCTCGACCCGATACGTTATTTCCGCCATCTGCCCCCTCTAGGTTGCCTGGGGAGTTGGCTAGGGCACTTGTCTATTACCTATCGTGCTTGGAAATGTTGGGGTAATTCTATTTGCTATAAACGTTCTCGTAAGCTGGTTTTATGGGGTATGTAATACAATCCTGTAGCAAATTCGGATCTGATATGATGTTAATTATTATTTTATAGCTTTTTCCAATCTGGCTGCTTTTTACAATATAGATGCCCCCTGTTACCAAAGTCTCTGTTACGACATTGCTTGGCCTTGGTATATTGCAGAGAAAACCCGAGTTTCCCGAGTTTGATGAAGCGTACCTGAGCTAATGATATATGCTTACAAAAGTTCTGTTGCGACTATTCTCCACTTGAAGTTTGTCCTTGAGGTCGCTCGACCGCTGGGATTGGCAGGTCTGTTAAGTCCAGGAGTCGTCGACAAGGCACTAGAAGAAACAATGCAGCTGCATTTCCGATGATGGGTTCAGAATTAAGTCAGTGGCTCTCAAGGATGACAAGTAGTAACAACTCTGGATCTATGCCCTTAGGACCTATTCAGAGGAACTCGGCTTTCCGGGGCCCTACGGCTAATAGACAACAAATTATCACGCTCACACGTCCGGACAGTGTTATTACTAGATACACGGGTGTTGATGTTTACTAATAGCAGTGTTTTCCTACAAACCTATCTTTAGTTGAATTATGGGCCACAGGCTTGGGCCGCAGGTACCCCTTAGGTGCTCTTCGGGGTTGGGGTTGAAGTTGGGGTCGACGTCAGCGTCGTATTCATCATTTGCACCTCCTAGCTTCTGCGTGACTTAGGGGTCACCCGAACCGCACCGGTCTTCATCTAATACTCCCGAAAGTACCGTGTATTAACCATGATGAAGTTGATATGTGAATTCGACAACGGAAGCACCGTTGATATCTAAACAGCAATAGATCGTAGCCCTTATAACGCCCGTGGATCAATTATTAAGGCATTTTTCTACTATCGGGGTATTTTACCTAATTCTTTAAGCCTCTTGCAAGTCGAAGAATTATTTCGACATACTCTTACTACTTTTAAAGCCGGTCAGGATCGTTACGTTAAAGGTTACATATTGTTGCGCACCTTAGATCAACGCATCCAAAAAACACCGAGAGTAGAATTAATTTACTTTTCGTTGCAGTTGGGGGGGGCTACTTGCATTAATTGGCGTTTTTTACGCAACATTTAACGCGAGTTGTAATGCACGAAGCTAAGAAAACCTCGATTTTTTGCTAAGTAAATCTATTGAATCGACCAGGAAAGACTTTTATAAGCGAGCTAAGGGGTTTTCCTATCATCCTTCCATGCGGGCTACGATCCTGTCTTGGACTTTGAGAATGCCACCGCATATTCCACAATTTGGTGAAGGGTTGATATGACAATCAATACCGATAGGAGAGGCCGCCATTTCGTGCAATAGTGGCAGTTAGGCACTCAGGAAGGTAAGTACCTAGGTACATGTAATATTGAGTATTGGTGTTAGCAACGTTGACGATGGCTGGTTTAAGGAGAAAGGGTCCACCTCCACGTAGAGAATATTTACAATCAATTTGCCCGAGTTTGTTTTTATTCGGTGCATCTTCCAAAACAACGGGTCTTACTGGATTCTCCACTTTCCTCTTCTTCCAAAATACATATCTTTTCTACGAGTAACTATAAGCAGATATTGTAATATATAAAATGATACTTACTTTAGATTACATTTGCAAGGTTATTTATCAAATCTTAAACGGTAAACCTCCGACTTGTTCTCATAAAGGGCTATTAGTAGTGCTTCTCTTCCCTCTTCGCTGCATAATATCGATGGTATAAGTAGGAGGTTGGCTAACCTACAACAGCTTAAAAAGATCGGTTTCAATCTTAAAAAGGGACAATTCACTCCCCTACAAACATATACTTTAGATCCGATAATATTTCCTACAGACGTCTTTTCCCAATATTCCCGAAACTTCATCTTTTCAAGTTGTTTTATATTCCTTCTAGGCGAAAGAGCCTTTCGAGATTAATCAATCTGGCTTCTTTATCCTAATATATTATTTAACTATCGATACCTCCATTTTTAACTGCGTAATATTATTGATAAATTTAGTAATTCTCATAACCAACAATCCTATTCCTTTAAATATCCGAATAAAATAGTTTCAAATTAAAAATCGTAAGTTTTTTTTACACATATAATCAATATTTGCAATTACAGTTAATACATACCAATATTAATAAAACCCTTTGCTCGAAAATCGTAAAATTTAAGTAGTTTCGAAAACCCACTTCTAATCCTAATACCCTTAATCCCTTATTTATCTCCCACATTCTTAATATCTTCCCACTAATTCCCTAGGATCTCGGAAGTTTTAAAGAGTGTTAACCTGTGTCAAGTCGTAGTAACCTAAGGCTGGCTAATCCATACACAAGCAGCCACCACAGTTGCTTGTTGGGGTTATATTAATGTTCTTGGCGTCGTTTTGGAAGGCGCTGGGGTTCGCCATGAGGCTTTTGATGCGTACCTATCTACTTTAGATACCAAATAGGTATACACGTACTTAGTTATGGTATACTGTCTACTCTTCCTACTCCAGCACGTCATCAAGATCTCAACAATAGCAGCATCGCCGATGATGGATAGACCGTCCCCCGAAACGGATATATGTCCCTTTATGAATTGGGGTTTATTGAAAGTTGTGTATCATTTACTCTTTAGATTAGGTACTTTGTTAGTTGGACTCCACGGGGTGATCGCCTATTAGAAGGCATTATATTGAGCATTACCCTGGTTCACTAGGCACCAGCGAGCCCAACAGCCACGGATACGTTGGATAATATCAATTCTTCGGAGCATGGGAAATTAGTCACGGATATTGGTATAGAACATCACACCACTGGATGTTATTCCAATGAATAGTGTTACAATGGCCTTCAATACTGATCTATGACAAGCTCCCCAATACGACAAATTTCTTTGAGGAGATATGCCCCAGGGACGGATAGGATGCACGAAGGGTCTGTAGATCACCCCAACCTATAGGATTCCAATGATCATCTAAGCGAACAGCGAGCGAATGCCAGTCTCAGCAGACTCCCTAGGATCACCCGTCGGTAGAATAAATAGGTCGTGATCGACTGACAGTACGAGCCTGGGCCCTTTCGAGGGTACTACCGCTGCTAGGGATAACTGTAACTAGACTAGATGCTTCTAATAGCTCAATCCTTTTTCATTTATTATGAACTTACGTAGACATTTAGATCCTGGCTTGTCTCGCCAACTACCAGGGACACAACGCCGAGCACAAGCCAAAAAGGGGGAGTGGACGAGAGCGGTTTAGATTCTATGTATGCCTACGGGTCTCATTGGCGGGATATAAAGGTCATAG